GTGGGACTGCAAATTAGTTCAACCTCTGTGGAAAACAATATGGAGATACCTTAAAGCAATACAAGTGGATCTACCATTTGATCCAACAATCTCATTACTGGGCATCTACCCAAAAGATCCAATGACACTCTACAAAAAAGACACCTGCACTTGAATGTTTATAGCAGCACAAATCATAATTGCAAAGCTGTAGAAACAGCCCAAGTGCCCATCAATCCAAGAATGGATTAATAAAATGTGGTATATGTATACCATGGAGTATTATTCAGCTCTAAGAAATAATGGTGACATAGCACATCTTATATTTTCCTGGTTAGAGCTAGAACCCATACTATTAAGTGAAGTATCCCAAGAATGGAAAAACAAGCTCCATATATACTCACCAGCAAACTGGTATTAACTGAACAGCACCTAAGTGGACACATAGGTACTACAGCAATAGGGTATAGGGCAGGTGGGATGGGGGAGAGGGGTGGGTATATACATACATAATGAGTGAGATGTACACCATCTGGGGGATGGTCCCGCTGGAAACTCAGTCTTGTGGGGCGAGGGGGAAAAGGGCATTTATTGAAACCTTAAAATTTGTACACCCTTAATATGCCAAAATAAAAAAAAAACAAGTTTCAAATGATTTTAAAAAATCAAAATCATATCAAGTGTCTTAGCAGAACACAATGGAATAAAACTAGACATCAATAACAAGAGAAACATTGAAAACAGTACAAATACATGGGAGTCAAATAACATGCTCTTGAATGATCAATGTGTGAAGGAAGAAATTAAGAATGAAATTGAAAAATTCCTTGAAACAAGTGAAAATACAAATACAACATACCAAAGCCTATGGGACACAACAAAAGCAGAATTAAGAGGCAACTTTATAGCAATGAATGCCTACATCAAAAACTAGAATGATCTGAAAAAACAATCTAACTATGCACCTCAAAAAATCAGAAAAGCAAGAACAAACCAAACCCAAAATTAGTGAAAGGACACAAACAATAAACATAGTAGAAATAAACAAAATTGACACTAAAATACATACAGAAAGTCAAGGGAACAAAATATTGGTTGTTTGAAAAGATTAATAAAATTGATAAACCATTAGCTAGACTAAGAAAAATAGAGAGAAGACCCAAATAAATAAAATCATAAACAAAAATGAGATGTCACAATGAATACCACAGAGAAACAAAAGACCATTATATACTGCTATGAACAACTATATGCCAATAAATTTGAAAACCTAGAGGAAATGCATACATTTCTGGACACTGACAAGCTACCAAGGTTGAACCAAAAAGAAATAGAAAACCTGAACACACCAATAACAAGTAATGAGATTGAATCAGTAATAAAAAGCCTCTCAACATAGAAAAGTCCATGATTACATGTCTTCACTGATGAATTCCACCTTTTAAGAAGAATTAATACCAATTTTCAAACTATTCAAAAATATAAATCAGAAGGAAATGTTCCTAACTGATTTTATGAAGCCAGCCTAACTATGATGCCCAAACCTAGACAATAACAGAAGAAAAAAACGACAACTACATACCAACTTCCTTGATGAACACAGGCACAGAAATTCGACAAAACACTAAAAAAACAAATATAACACCACATAAAAAAGTTAATAAACCATGATCAAGTCAGGCTCATCCCAGGAATGTAAGGATGGTTCAGTATACAAAAATCAATAAATGTGGTATATCACATCAATAAAATGAAGGACCAAAACCATGTGATCATCTCAATAAGTACAAAAATAGCATTTAATAAAACTCAGCATCCTTCATGATAAAAACTCTCAATAAATTAGCAATAGAAGGAAAGTACCTCAACATAATAAAGGCCATATCTGACAAACCCACAGCTAACATCTTACGGAACAGGGAAAAGCTGAAAGCTTTTTCTCTAAGAACTGGAATAAGACAGGGATGCCCATGCTTACCACTCTTATTAAACATAGTACTGGAGGTCCTAGTCAGAGAAATTAGGCAAGAAAAAGCATTAAAGGGCATCCAAATTCTAAAGGAGAAAGTCAGATTATTACTGTTTGCTGATGACATGATCTTATATATAAAAAAAACCTAAAGATTCCAAAAAACTCTTAGAACTGATAAAATAAGTAAAATTTGTAGGATACAAATTTAAGATACAAAAATTAGTGCTGCTTCTATACAAGTGGACTGAACTAGCTAAAAAATAAATCAAGAAGGCAATACCATTTACAATAGCTACCAAAAAATACCTAGAAATAAATGTAACCAAGGAGGTGAAAGACATTTCAATGAAAACTAAAAAAGGAAGAAATTGAAGACAATACAAACAAATGGAAAGACATCCCCTATTCATGGATCAGAAGAATTAATATTGATAAAATGACAATACTACCCATATTATTCACAGAGATAGAAAAACAAATCCTATAATTTGTATGGAACCACAAAGATCCTAAATAGTCAAAGCAACCTTGACCAAAAAAACCAAAGCTTTAGGCATCACCCTACCAGACCTCAAAATATACTACCAAGCTATAGTAACCAAAACAACATGGTATTGCCATAAAAACAGACACGAAGAAGAGAGAACCCAGAAATTGACAACATATATACAGCCAACAGATTTTTGACAAAGGTGAGAAGAACACTCATTGGGAAAGGATAGTCCTGTCAATAAACCATGCTGGGGAACACTGGATATCCAGTGTAGAAGAATGTAGAAGAATGAAACTAGATTCCCATCTCTCACCCTGTACAAAAATCAACTCAAAATGGATCAAAGACCTAAATGTAAGACCTGAATCTATTATATAAAACTACTTTAAAAAGCACAGGGGAAATGCACAGGGGAAATTCAGGACATTGGTCTGGGAAAAGATTTCATGACTAAGACTTCAAAAGTTTAGGCAGCAAAAGCAAACATAAACAAATGTGATTATATCAAACTAAAAAGCTTCTGCATAGCAAAGGAAACAATAAACAGAATGAAAATACAACCTACAGAAGGACAACATATTAGCAAACTGCTCAACCAACAGGGTATTAATGTCCAGAATAGAAAAGGAGTTGAAATATCTCAACAGCAAAAAATTAAACAATCCGAATTTAAAAATGGGTAAATGATATGAACAGACATTTCTCAAAAGAAGACATACAAATATCCAATAAATACATGGAAAAAAATGCTCAACATTACTGTACCTTGGAGCAGAGGGCACATGTTTAAATTTACAAGCAGCAACAAATTATAAATTTAAAATGGAGGATGAATATCAGTTTCTATGTCACTGAGCTAAAAAACAAGTATAATACTGACTAAAAGTCACTTCTTTTTTAAAAGAAATGAATAGATTTTATATATTAGAGTAGTTTTAGGGTTATGGAAATATTGAGTGTCAAATACAGAGTTCCCATTTACCTATTCTTCTTCCCACACAATTTCCCATATGAACAAAATAAAATCTTAAGCACCCCCTTCCCCTGGAAGCTGACTGAATGGACCCCCTCTTGGCCAAGGGGATACCCTGGAACTGAGTTATTAGCCATACCTCGTCATGCCCCCCTCCTTTCTTAGAGACATACTTTATAACTCCCTTAACAGGCTAAGGTTATGTAAGACAAACCTGCAGGTCCTCAAATTACACAACAAGTATATGGCTGGTAGCTTGTCACTGATTAACAGACTTCCTTATCTTAAATTCAAACATTCCAAGACTTTAGACAAAGCTTCATTTCTTTAACCAATTACAACTCAAAGAGTTTTTAAACCCACCTATAACATGTAATTCTCCTACCCCCTTTGAAATGTCCTACTTTCTTGGGCCAAACCTATGTATACATATGCCTTCCATGTATTGATTTATGACTTTACCTGTAATTCCTCTCTCCCCAAAATGTATAAAACCAAACTGTCACCCACCCTCAGCAATCCACTTCCTCAGCTTTCTTGGGTGTAGCTCTGGGCCATGGTCCTCAAATTTGACTCAGAATAATCCTCTTTAAATTATTTTACAGAGTTTGGTTTCTTTTCTGTTGACAGCCTTATTAACATCTCTCATTTGATGTACTCAATTTTACAATTGAACAAAGATTGATACATTATTATTAACTAAAGCCCATCCTTTGGGGTACATTCTTTATGTTGTATATTCTATGGGTTTATAACAGGGAAAGGCCAGGAAAAAAAATTTTTTTTTTTTCGTCTTTTTCAAACTTCCCCCCCTCTTTGGGAACTGCATTCTGGCCCTCAGCCCTGAGCAGGTTAACTCTTCTTAAAACTCCCAGGTGGCGCCGCGCCCCCAGGTGGGCGGCTGGCAGAGTTCACAGGCTTTGTGTTGGGCGACAAGGGATGATTAGAATAGTTAGTCAACCACAGTAACCGCCTGAGGTGAGAGCCCTTCCTTTAAAAGCTATTTCTGCCAGTGTTGAGGAAATATTTGGACTGTGAGATCATAGTCTCCATTTTTCCTCCCTTTGCCAGGAGAGGAATAAAAATGTCTGTTTCCTTCCTCCCCAAACCGCTTGTCCTGGTTCTTCTGCTTGGGCTTCACGGGCAAGTGGCCGAGTTTTCGGGGACAGTTTGGCAAACTTAGAGGCGCAGGCATCCACCTGGACGTGTCAACGCAGAGCGGCTTCACCGCCGAAGGTCCCCGCGCCCCGCCCGCCGCGCGGGAGCCTGGCGGGTCTCGGCCCCACCCGGCCCCCGGTGCCCGCTCTGCCCCAGAACGGGACCGGGATGCGGCGCCCCTGGGTCCCAGGGCAGGGCGAGGGGATACCACGTCCCCATGCTGCGGGGGGTGGGGGAGGGAGGAGGCCGGGGAATCCCTCCCGCCCTCAGTGCTCTCCGCGCCCAGGGCTCCCACAAAACCGCCAGGACGAGAAACGGAGAATGGAGCCCGGCGGGCGGAGGGTGAGCCCTGCCGGCCGGGACCCGCCTCCTGCCGGCCGCCGCGGGTTCCCAGGCTGCTCCGGGCGGTCCGGCCGCGGGGCGGGGGCGGCGGGCCGGGGCGCTGCGCGGAGCCGCCCCCGGCTCCCCCGGGCTGGGGGAAGGAGGAGCCGCTGTCAGCCCGGAACCCAGAAACGCCAAAGTGGAAGCGGCTTCTCCGGGAGCCACATGCGGTGTGACCACACCAGGGCCTTCCCAGCAGGTGAGTATCTGAAAGCCTCTGACTTCAGCTCATACAGTGTATCCAGGTAACATCTGTACCCGCTTAATATCTTGAAATACATCTTGAAATAATATCTTGAATACAAATATCTTGAAATACATTTTGAATAATATCTTGAAAAAAATACAGTAGGTAAATAAATGCACATTTCTCCACCCTGGCTGTGTAATTCTAGAAAATCTCTCCAGATCATTCCTGCACATGTCTCAGATATTTTTCTTAAAATTGCATGTGGATTTACAATTATATCAAAATACAATGTCTGATTTAAAAATAAATGCCAAGTTTATCTCCTGTATGGACTGTTTTTGTTTGAATTATGAATCGGTGTATAAGTGGTATAGTACATAGATTTATTATGTACCTTGTTACAGAAAAATCTGAGGCACAATAATATTTTTAAAAGTTTATTTGAGTAAGAAGCAGTTCATGAATTGAGAAACACCAAACTAAAAGAGGTTTAATGTTCCTATCTACAGGAGCAAGTATTTATGGGGTAAATGTGGAAGGAAAACAAATAAATTATTTGATTGTCTTATTCTATTCCATTGAAAAGTCCCTAAGTGTGTTGGCTACTTCTGACTGGTTGAGCTTAAGTTCTGTTTTCCTTTATAGGCTGTTACAACAAACAGCTCAAGTTCAGTTCAGTTTTGTTCCCAAATCAAGCACTCCTGAAACCTAACTGGTTTTGCTGCTAAGGGGTTCTTCAGGCCTGGTGTCCATGTTAATTTATTTTAACAAACTGTAGAGGATGTTAGAAAAGGCATAAAGGCCTGGGTAAAGGGACTGTGAGAAAGGCAGGAATCTGGCAGTCCTGCAAACAGGACTTGGGATATGAATGCTTATCAGCTGCATACAACAGGCTTTGGAATGGATGGGACCATGACTGACATGCTGTCCCTGCCTTTTTCCTTCTATCCTTAAGGAGACACAAGGAAATAAGAAGATAAATATAGATTTATTCATATCAGTAACTAAATGTCTTTAGAATAATGTGTTTGCTGGTGCCACAGATTTTATCTGTATGTTCTTTGCTTTGACCTTGCGTACCTTTCCTTGGAATAAATGTGGAGGTTTGGAGAGGTACAGGAACTCTTTGAAATGATAAAAGTCTCTCCACCTCTTTTCTGGCTTACATCTGGAAGAATGTAATTGTAGGTCAGAAGACAAATGTATCAATTTACAAATGTGACGATTATCAAGTTAAAGCAAATGATTCTATTGCAGTCTTTTAGAGGACAAAGCTACAAATTCTGATGTCTAGGTGTCTTAGAAGGCCCCTTTTCTGTAAATAACATTACTGGGACATTATATAATAGAAAAAAACAGGGTGTTAAATTTTTATAAAAGTATCTGCACTTAGCAGAGTAATAATGATACTTTGTGAATGCTATCAATTTACTATTTGAGGACTGAACTCTTATCTTTTTCTCTTGCTCCAAACTCCTCCCTGAGGAGACCAGCTGAGTGAGGCTCACAAATAGTAAATTCCCACTAAGCAGCTTTTGTTAACCATTAACCCTTTGCACTAGGATGTCAAGTGTGACTCCACAGGGTTAGGTAGTATAAAGGAATCTAGAAAAAAGCAAGAGAGTGCAAAGTTAAAGCAGGGTTTACTTCCCAACCTGATTTCTGTAAAGGATTAATAACACCTAAAAGATAGAAAGCCCCCTTCCCTTCTTGGAGACATCCTTTGCAACCCATTAACAGGCCTAAGGGTATGCAAGACCAACCCCCAAGGCCTCAATTTACACAACAAATCTATGTCGAGTGGCTTATTTCTGATAACAACTCCTTATGTTAAAACATTCCAAGCTTTTAGACAAAACACTCTTTTCTTTCACCAATTACAAGCCAAAGACTCTTTAAACTCATCTATAACCTGTAAGCCCCAGCTTAGAGATATTCCTCCTCTTTGGGCCAAGCCAATGTATGCCTTCCAAGAGTATTGATTAATGACTTTATCTGTAACCCCCATCTCCCTGAAATATATAAAAGCCAAACTGTAACTCAGTCAAGTCAAGTCCACTTGTCCAAGGCATCTTGGAAGTGGCTGTGGGTCATGGTCCTCAAATATGGCTCAGATGAAATCTCTTTAAAATTATTTTACAAAGTTTGCCCATTTTTCATTGACAATTTTATTAGAACTAGATTTTAGGACTCAAAATAACAATGTTTATTTTCAGCTTTTTGGGAAAAGGAGACAATTTTTATTTCATCTTTCTGAGACACTTTCTGTTAGCAGTTAGTGATAGAAGAACTAGCATTTGAACTGTTAGCACTAATAGTGAACATAAGGGGTTTAAAACTTTCAATATAGAAAGAGGAAAGGTCATAAGAGAAATTTTTACAAATAAGTAGGTTCTCATAATTTATATCTAGCTTCTTCCACCTCTATTCCATCCTACAACCACGGCCACACTAAATCTCCTAAAAGTACAGTTCTGATTATTGACAACCCCGTTGCACATCTACCTTTCATGGGTCCCCAGTGCCTATCTCATGGCCATTTACTGTCTCTAATCTACCTTTATTACATCTTGTTACCAAGTTTTAAATTTCCCTTCTCCATACACTCTACACCAGTGATTGTCAGCACAGGCTTCCTTTAAGTTTCATATGAGGGAAGGACCTCTTAGAACATCTGGATATTCACATTCCACCCCTAGAGATCCTGACTTAATTAGTCTGTTGAACATTAGAATTGTTTTGTAAAAGTCCCCTGGTGAATCAGATCTGAAGGCAAGATAGAGAATCTTTGTTCTGCCTCATTCTATGTGTAGCTGGAATACCTTAATTTCAACTTCATTTGTTGAAATCCTGCCAGCCCTTTAAGGTTCAGTAAATATGTCATCCCCCTCTCCCCCTGAAATCTTTTCTCAAAGAAAAACACTCCCTGCCTGACACTTGGGCCACAAGTAGTACAGTTGGTAAGTTCATTATAGATCAAGTTAGCATCATACTATCATTGACCCTTCTAAAGCCTCTTCCATTTATTCTCTATATAGTCCCATTCCCATATCCCCCATAGGCACCCATTCTAAGGCATTTAATGTATACTATTTTATTTTTAATAAAGGGTTTTTTTGTACAAATACATTTATTTAGTACACATTTTTATTTAGCGTGGTGCACACCTATGCATCACAAGTTTACACTTAATTATCACAAAATTAGCACAATTCATACAGCCACTACCCTAATCATAAAATAGAATATTACAGCAATGTTCAATCCCTCTTGGACCCCTGCCAATCTCGTTTCTTTTCTGGCTTCCCAAATGAATCTTATTTCTTGACTTCACAGATTACTTTCATCTGTTTTTGAACTTTATGTAAATGAAACAGTTGAAGATGTATTCTGTAGCTTCTGACTTCTTGTACTGAAAATTATCTTTTTTGAGGTTTATCCATATTGTTGCCCATGATAGGAATTTATTCATGTTCATTGCTGTATCATATTCTACTTTATTAATACACCACAATATGTTTCCATTCTACTGTTAATGGGCATTTGAGTTTCCATATTGGCTACTGTAAATAATGCTGTATGCCCATTTTCTACATGTCCTTTTCTATGCATATATTTCTGTGCGGGGCAGGGGAAATAGGAGTAGAATTACCAGATCAGGATTTGGTTATGTTCAACTGTAATAGTTATGCCACAGTGTGTTATTAAATTGTAATAACAATTTGTTTTCCTACCAGCAGTGTGTAGGAGTTTCAGCGGTACCATATTACCCCTAAACAGTTCTATATGTGTCTTTTCCATTTTAGCCATTGTAGTGGATGTTTAGTGAGTCTTTTCCTTGTCCCACTTGCTGAGTCAGAATGGGATTCCCAACCATTTTGGCACTGGGGACCTGTTTCTTGGAAGACAGTTTTCCCACAGACTGGGAGTGGGGTTGGGGTGCAGTGGGTGAGGGGAGGTAGAGGGGAGGATGTGACCTGAACTTCAAGGTGTGATCAAGCAGAGTTTGATCATGTCTAGTTCAGGAAGTGAAAAGCCTCCTTGAGGTGGAGTTTCAGAGGAGTTTGCCTTGGGGTTGGGAACCTCAGGCAAATAAACCCTTCAGGGGTCACCAGATATTTCAGTTTAACAGCTTCCTCTCTCTGGTGTGTTGCAGACTGTTCCTCTCCGCAAGAAGACGGCAGTCATATAGGTTGCAATGGGAATGTTAAACACAGACCTTACCCTCAGCGATGACCTGGAGGAAGGAGGAGAATCTGGTAACGTAACTGATAAAATGTGAAATATCAAAAAGGCAGGAACTTTTCTTCCACTGAAGCAGGCAGGCAGCTGGATTCAGGCGCACATTAGCAAGTCACAGTCAGTCTCCACAGAAGGGATTTGTTTAGCAGGGAAGAAAGGTATTATTTTTGTTTGGGAGGGCAGGACATTGGATTTCCTGGAAAACAAGGTTCCTATTGAACAAAAAAAGACAGGTTATAAAGAATGTTGATGTTTTTCAGCTAAACCCAGTTCTTACAAAACTTAGAGTAATATGTGTAAGGTTTTCGGTGGCGGTGAGAAGAAAAGACAGACAGAGAGAAAGAGTGGGGGCCAAACCACGTGGCTTGATTTAGTGCTCCCTGGAGGAGGCCCCCAAGAGAGGCGGGGGACAGAAGTCACATCCATTTGAAGGGGCTGAGGCCTTTTATACTCTTTGGGCAGGGCTAGGACTTGTGGCAGGAAGAGCTGGGATTCTCCATTGTGACTTTGGGTGATAGTTGAGAAAAAGGAGGTATTTGTGGAATTCAGAAGGGGAAATGTTCTTTTCAAGGTGGAAATCTGGGGGTGGTTCCTCTTGGTGAGGGCCTGGCAGTTTTGTCCTTGGGGGGGACTGGTGAGACTTTTCTCTCTCTCTTTTTTTTAATCTAGGGAAGGGAGGGGGCCAGCCACTAGCCTTACATTGCAGCCTTGTGGTCAGGATGGGTGCCCCCCTTTGTGACTACTTCCTGCTAGGAGGGGGCTTAGTTAGGGGCTATAGGCCTGTGGAGGCTGGTGGAGGGGCGGTTGGTAGTGGGGCGTACAGATGAAGTAGTTGGTTTACTGCCACTCGTGACAGCTCTTGTAGGCAGCACTGGAGGAACTGTAAAACACAGGGAGCAAAGAGAAAGATTAGGCAGATGATGACGACGGGTCCTATTAGTGGTAATGGGTAGGCAGGCAAAGGGGACTGCATCCAGCCCAAGGGACATACATCCTGGCAGTAGCGGTTGTGCCGGCCTTTGCTCAGGTTGGTGAGCTTGTCTGTGTTCTGCTCCACAAGGCCCGATTCATTGACATAGCAGCAGCATTCTTCATGAAGGAAAAGACAGGTTTCTCTTTTTCTGGCCATGAGCAGATCTGCAAAATCTTGGGCAGATATAATACTGTGGCCCAGGACACCTGTCGCTAGCCTTGAGGCCTCAGTGGAAGAGGCCAAGCTGAGACCCATCATGACAGGTTTAAAATATGTCTTGTCTCGGCCAGGGCCTTGGGAGAAGCCACCTGAATTCAGACTCACCATATAGAGTTAATTGAGGGGCCATTTCAGGAGTTTAGGAAGGCTAGAGTATAAAAAGACATGTAGATCCTGTCCAAGGGAAAGCTTTAGTGCTTATCTGGCAAGAGGCTGCCACGCTCATTGCCCTAAGGCTAGGTGGCCAGCCACAGAGCAGGGTGTGTAGTTGTTTGGCTAAATAAGCCACTGGAATACAGGTGGGTGGGATCTAGGAGCCCATAGGCTGGGTGAGGACATGATAAGGAAGGAATGGATGATGGGACGGTCATCTATTAGACAGGTTAGTGGACCAGTAGTAGGGGGCCATGAAGAATTGCCATCAATACCCATAACCAACACCTGGGAAGGATAAGTAGGGCTTGAAAAGAAGGCAGGAGAGAGTAGGTAGCCCCCGTGTCGACCAGAAAGGACACTGCCTTACCCACTACCTTGATTGTTACCCTGGGCTCAGCGAGGGTGATCAGGGTCTCCCAGAGACGGGGCTTTGTCAGTCTTCTGCAGCCAAGCCCAAAACAATCAACGGCAGGTCTGGGGGTGGAAAGACTGACACTCCAGACCTTTGTGCAAGTGACAATCCCTCTTCCAGTGTCCCTCTTGACCACAGGCCGGACAAAGGATAGTGGGTAGATGTGGCTGCGGGCACCGGCTGGCCCAGTGGCCTCCCTTACCACATTGAAGCTGGTGCAGGGCGGAGCGCGGCTGGTTGCTTTAGACGAGGTCCAGGGTGTTTCAGGCCTCGCCGGCCACAGGGCTACAACCAAGGCTTGGGCTTGCAGGTGTCCTTTTGGTGGACACAGGCTTCCTTTTGGGCCTCTGCCTGTTTATCTCGGGAATTAAAGATTTTAAATGCCATGTTCACCAGGTCTCTAATGGGGGTCCGAGGGCCTTCTGCCTTTTTAAGTTTGCATCTAATGTCAGAGGAGGACTGGGAGATAAAGAGAGTTACAAGGACGGTGGTCCCAGCTGGGGAAGTGGGGTCCAAGCGGGTATACTGGATGAGAGCATCCGTAGGGCGGCTCAGGAAGGCCGTGGGATTCTCATCTGGCTTCTGAGTGATTTCTCTAAGCTTATCATAATTAATGGCCCGATGGGCAGCGGCCTGGAGGCCAGCAAGAATGCATTGCAGCCTGCAATCTCAGCGGGTTCTACCATCTCAGCCTTCTACCATCTCAGCCGGCAGGGGTGTCTGGCTGGTATTCCCACCCTGGCTCACCGCGTGGGACAGCCTCGGCCCCGACCTGCATGGTGTGGACTGTTAGGTGGACTTGGTCGGCATGTCCCTGAGCCGCCATCTAGACACGTTGCTTTTCATCAGTAGTAAGAGTAGAAGCCAGAATAACAAAAATGGTAAGATAGTGGGACTCTTTGGTGTAGGCCGTGGGGTCGTTAGTAAAGGAGCCTAAACGCTTTTCAATATGAGAGAGAGCAAAAAGGGAGAAAGGAACATGGATGTCTGGGACCCCTTCGGGACTGGCTACCTCTCTCAGGGGCCAGAGAAGGGTTTGGCCTGATGGCCCTGCATGGGATCGAGTGTGGTGACTAGCAGGGGACGTTGGCAGAGAGCCAGCGCGAGCAGTAGCGGAGGACGGCGGGGCACTAGGAGTAGGAGAAGGAACTAGATATGGTGGAAGCTGATCAGGGGGAGAGGTAAGGGAGTCAGGTGGGTCAGAGAAGGCGGAAGAGGTTTCTAACGGGTCTTTTGGCTGAGAGGTGGAAGAGGCCAAGGACGGTGGAGGACTCAGCAAGGAGGATTTGTGACAGGTCACAGGTCTGACAGAGGGAAGGACGGGAGCGCAGATAGAAGAAAGCCTGGACATAAGGGATCTCCCACCATTTGCCATTTTGGTGACAAAAGTTATCAAGATCTTGTAAGATTTTGAAATTGAACATCCCATGTTTTGGCCGCTGTTACCCATTGCCTAATTTGTACATTGGTCAGGCGGTGTTACAATAGAAAATGAGTTGCTTGGGCTGAATATCAGACTTGAGGCCCAGGGCTGCAAGATTGGCTAATAGAGAGCCCAGAGGTGTGTTAGATTTGATTTTGGAAGATTGACTACCCATGGTGTCCTAATCCAATGAGAGAAGGAGGAGAACCGGGAGGCTGCGTCCCAGGTCACCGATCAGGCCTTGCAGAGAAGGCTCTGAGCCTTGGAAAGGACCGACTGAGTGGATCAGGCATCCATGAGGCACTCAAGTGTCTTATGAATCCTTACGGATGGAAGGACTGACTGAGGGGCTCAGGCGTCCCTGAGATGCTCAGGGCCTTATGGATGGAGGATCTTTGACTTGGGCCCAAGGTTTTATGGACAGAGACCCTGGAATGGACGCATTGGGCTAGGAACACAAGGGCAGAGGGACTTACCCAGGCCAATTAGTCGACTGGCGTCCAGTGGAGGTCCCAGTCCGAGGTCTGGAAGACACGAGAGGGGACGGAGCGACCACGGCCCTGTGGCAGGCCTGCCCAGCCAAGACTCCCCTCCCGGGTTTCGGCACCAAATTTAAGGATTTTCTGCGCTGGAGAAAAGAGAAGAAAAGACAGACAGCGAGAGAAAAAGAGTCCGGGCCAAACCACGTGGCTTTACTTAGTGCTCCCTGGATGAGGTTCTGGGGCCCCAAGAGAGGGGGGCCCAGAAGTCGCCTCCCTTTGAAGGGGCTGAGGCCTTTTATACCCTTTGGGCGGGGCTAGGGACTTGTGGTGGGAAGAGCTGGGGATTCTCTACTGTGACCTTGGGTGGTGGTTGAGAAATAGGAGGGGCTGGAGGGTTTTGTGGAATTCAGGAGCTGAAACATTCTTTTCCAGGTGGGAATCTGGGGGTGGCTCCTCTCAGCCAGGGGCCTCACAGTTTTGTCCTTGGGGGGTCTGGTGAGCCTTTTCTCTCTCTCTTTTTTTTTTTTTTTATCTAGGGAAGTGGGGGGGGGGCACCACCAGCCTTACAATATGTAACCAGCCAGAATGTTACAGAATGTAGTTGTGATATTTATTCTTTTAAAAATACATCCTTCTTTTGTAAGTTAAGTAAGTTTTGGATCCTGAAACTATTAATAAGTTAAAATTTCAGCAGTAACATGGTTTACACTTTTGTTCTTCTGAAGAATAATTTGTAATAATGTTTCTCCAACTAGAAATTTAAAGGGCATTGTGTTCAGTGTATACTATAAGAGGCATGTGAATTTAGAGGGAGACAAGAATAGGGAACACAGTTCAGAAAGGTAGGAGAGAAATAAGCAAGAGAGAAATGGAGCAAGGACATTGGTAGGAGGAAGTAGAGACAGGGAAAAACCAAGAGAAAGCAGGGTCTTTTTGAAGATTTGTAAGAGGCAAATGGGAGATTTTGGGAGAGATTTAAGTGGACATTTACATATTACTGTATAACAATGAAAACATTATAGAAGTCATAATATACTGAGTTTTTAAGACATTTTGCCTTAATGTAGAACCTGGAAGAAAGAACATTGAGATTTTTGTATGGAACTCAAATCCAAATGATATCTTATACTGCTTAAAACCATCCAATCCAATGCATTAATATCTTTTCCCCAGTGTAAATTTAAGCTGGGGCTCCGTGTTGTTCTTCAGGATGTATGCTAAGTGAGTGAAATGTAGTAGCTGAAAGAAAATCAGCAGGAACATTTTTCAAAGTATAATTTTTACATTCAGTAAAATTCACTCTTTGGTGTGTGTTTCTATGAGTTTTGACAAACACATGTAATTATGTAGCCAACATCAAAATGAAGATAAAGAACCATATCAAATTCCCTCAGGCCCTTTGTAGTCATTCTTTCCTCTGCCCTTGGCAACCACTGGTCTGTTTTCTGCTCTTACACTTTTGCTGTTCCAGAACGCCATTGTTATGGTCCGAAGTGCCAGAAAAGACCACCATAGAAACTGAATTGGGTCAAATTGTGAGTCTTTATTTATTGGCCAGGACTAGTTCAGCCCTGCAGAGTGACAGGCACAGAAAGTAGGGATAAGCTAGAGAAAACAGGCCCCTTTTAAAGGCAAAAACCACACTCTGAAAAAAATTTTATCTAATTGTTCAAGCACAGTTACGAGGGCTTACTTGACTAGAGGCACATAAGTGAGGGCATTGTTTTTTTACATTATATCATGTTCCTGTCCATGGACTGGTAGGAGCTCCAGTCCAGCGTTGAGCTCCTATGCAGAGACTTATCTCAAAGCAAGCTATTTGCAGAAGCAGACAGCTTCACTTAGCCTGGGTACTGTGAAATTTTATGACATGCAGCTGGCGGGATATGCATTCAGTTACAAGTGGATTGCATTGCTTTCTTCTCAGGACAGTTTAAGTTTCCCACCATCACAGGAAAGGGCACAAGCAACCAGAAGCTTTGGCCTCAACACCTGTGGTCCCTAGGCCTTAACAGCCATGTAAATGGGATCCTGCATGAACTGCAGAGTCTGGCTTCATTCACTTAGTAATGATGCCTGAGATTCATCCATAATGTCTTATGCACAGTTTGTCAAATAAGAGCAAGTCTGGACTTAGATAGGGGAGACTTTATTCAGAAGGACTGTTACAGTAGGAATAACACTCTGACTTCAAAAATACACAAACGTTTGCAAGTCAAACAGAAAATGGCTTTTATTTTAGAAAGAGGTGAAGATGGGTTAGTGAACAACTTGTATGTACGAGGGCATTGTTGTGGAAGAGATATCATGGCAACAGGTGTTTCAACAGGAATGTTTTTTGTTTTTTTTTGTTTTTTTTTTTTTACAGATCTCAAAATAAACCCTTAGAGTGGGCTGGTTTTGCATGTTAATGCTTTAGGCTTGGTGAAACTTGTGAGCAAGCCAGAGTTTAAAGGCTTGTGGGGAGGAAGAACACTGACAAATATTTGGAAAGCAAGCAGGATAAGGAATGAGTAACAGAAATTGTGGTCAAGGTTTTTTTTTTTTGTGTGTGTGTGTGTGTGTGTGTGTGTGCTGAATAGTTAGTTCCTTATCTTTTCACAAGCTTAAGCATATTTTAACTGTTGCCAGGTTTTGTGTGATGATGAATAAAGCTGGTGTAGATCTCATGTACAAGTTTTTGTGTAAACACACAAAAAATGCTGCTTTTTTTTTGAGCCTGCCTGGTAACACATGTTTAATTTGTTTCTGAAATCTCCCTTCAGCTACATTGATTTATGTGTCGACACTTCTGTCAATACCACACTGCCTTTATTCTTGTTACTTCCGAAGTTACGAAATAAAGTTTCTTTTTCATCCTCACTTCTACTCTCTTTTTTTTCACTATCCCATAACTGGAAGACTCTCTCGTCCTCTTGGGGCTATGGCTGTCATTTATGGACCAGGACCTTTTGTGACAGAGGTTGGCAGTAGCAATGTTGAGGTACAGCTGAGCTTAGAGTTGATTCTATGATGAGTTTCATTTTCTCTCCCTAAGATCTGCATGAGATTGAGATTCTGATACTTGTATTTTATAGGTAAAGGTCTCCAAAGAAAATGTCTACAAATTATGTCTCCTATAACTGACATCAAGCTTTATTGTTGCTATTTCATCATTGCAGTCCTAACTATAAGTGTGGTTGCACTTTCTATTGTTTTGTTAGGTAAGTTACTTTTTCTCCAACCTTTACAGTATTCTCCACATATTTATGTTGTCAGTAAATATTTATGGAGCTTCATTATGTGCCAGACACTGTGTGAAATGCTTGAGGTACATCAGTGGACAAAAGACACACAAAAAACATTTCTAGCGGGAGTGACACAGGTAATAATGAATAAGGGCAGAAGTGGAACAGGTTACAGTAGGGTGGCCATGGTAAGCCTCCTTGGGAGTGCACATCATAGTGATTTATTAACATTAGGTCATGTCTCCCTGGGCAGTACTTAAATGTGCCAAGCAGTGCTGAAGACCTGTTGCCCCTATATATAAAGTACGTTTGTGCATTCTCACCCTGCTTAAGTAGGAGGTACAAATTCTTAGGGCCAAGGGATATGCCTGAAAACATTTCAAGGAGAGTTCTCACTTTCTTCTTTAATAAAATGACAGTTCTGATGGGAACATGTCAGGAAATAGCTCCATAAGTGGACTTTCTACATATTCCTTAAATATGTATTTAACAGAAATATATCTATATATGTACATTATATGTGTATGTACATGTGCTTATATGTTTATATATATAAAAATATATGCACATATATGTATATATATATGCATATATATACATATATATATGTATATATATAAAGAGAAAACTACAAGAAGCCCTAGCTTGTACCTGGTACCAAAAACAATATTAGGAATCATGTAATGTTCACTGATAGACTCTGTACCTCCTAGGGAGTATACCGTAGTAAAATCTAAGACAGGGGGATTTTGTCTTGGACTTTGCCAAGGACTTTGCTTTCCATTGTAAAGAGGAGGAAGGGCTAATATGAAGGAGAGGGTTTGGAAAAAGAGAATCTACATGATCTCAGGAGAGAGTAGTATAGATGTTGCTATAGAAATTGATTTCCTTGCACCTGTGAATATCAATGTACACCTCAGAAAGTCAGGGGGTCAGGTACCAGCCACAGACCACTGCACTGATGACTGTGTTTTGCTTAGGATGAGACTCTGAGTGATGAGTTAGGAAACCAACAATCCAACCTACATGCTTCAAAATTGACCTCAGGATTGTAAATGAAAAAAGAGATAAAAGAGATGACAAATTTCTGTAGTATAATTCATTGTGATTATCTAACTTTTAGTGAGAGAGGAAAAGGTGCCGTTAGAGCACTCTGTGTATGCTGCCTGCCCGGAAAGCTGGATTGGATTTGGAAGTAAATGTTTTTACTTTTCTGAAGACACAAGGAATTGGACATTCAGTCAAACTTTCTGTGCCTCCTTAGAAGCCCACCTTGCTCACTTTGAAACTCCGGAAGAACTGGTGAGAAATGATTTGGGGTCATGCTTTCTGTTGCATACTTGGTCCCGAGGTGGGTCAGCTGCACAGGGCTAAAGCTGAAATATGAGGAAGGATCTCATTTTAGGTAGAATTTGGGGCACCAGCATGGCTAACATTAACTAAGGGTATATTCTCTTCGTAGAACATTGTGAAACATTTTACATATATTTTCTGACGTAATCTTCATAGAAAACCTGCAAAATTAGATGTATTGTTCTCATTCTATTAAGAAATATGGTATTCACATAATTATCATCCAGATTGGGACATTTTGGGTAATGAAAGCCGGTGTTAGGCCGGGCCCTGTGGCTCAGGTCTGTAATCCTAGCACTCTGGGAGGCCGAGGCGGATGGATTGCTCGAGGTCAGGAATTCAAAACCAGCCTGAGCAAGATCAAGACCCGTCTCTACTCTAAATTGAAAGATATTAATTAGCCAAGTAATATATATGGGAAAAATTACCCGGGCATGATCACGTGTGCCTGTAGTCCCAGTTACTTGGGAGGCTGAGGCAGGAGGATTGCTTGAGCCTCGGAGTTTGAGGTTCCCGTGAGCTAGGCTGACAGCACGGCACTCACTCTAGCCTGGGCAATAAAGTGAGACTCTGTCTCAAAAAAACAAAAAAGAAAGCCGGTGTTAATTATGATGGAATGATAGACATAAACTGGAACTTTCCCTGTCATACAGGGATCTATTCTCATTTTAAGTACAGTAATTTAGGATCAGAGACATTTGACTTTGAGAATCGTGTAGTAGTCTAAATCCAGTCTATGCTTTTCAATGAATACCATGCTGCCTTCCAAAAAGAGGCTAGAGAGGGAGAAAAAAATCAAGAGTAATATGAAAGAAATCCATGTTGATATTTCCTGTGTTTTATAATAGAATTTTCTGAGAAGATACAAGGGCCCTTCTGAGCATTGGATTGGCCTCTGCAGAGAATCAGCACATCACATTTGGAAATGGACAGACAACACTGAATATGATACCTCGTACGTATTGAAACTTCTTTTCCTTCTACCGTGTTTGTGTGTGGTTATGTGTGTGAGTTGGGTTTATGAGATGAGAAATGTAACATGGAAAGCTTATGAGGTAACAAATGTGAATCTTCTTTGTGCTTTCATTTATTAGTTGCACCCTTGGGAAACTTTACTTCTTATTTCAGTTGAAATCTTTAACATGATGGTGATGTTTGACACAGTTTTGCACTTTCATCCACTCATTTAAAGCTTTTCTTTGCTGAAAAGCCTATTTAGAATGTAGACAGAACAGCTGATTTACAGCAAGGGTTCTACCATCCTGGGAAGCCACTAAGGAAATGATATGCACAGGGCTCTTAAGTCCACTCTTGCAGCAGCGGCATCCATTCATATGAATAAAAGGAAAGTCTCCAGGGAACCTATAGGCGTCTCTCCCAAAGTTTTATCACCAGAGGGAACCTAGTAGACTGTGAACATTTCAATGGGGTATTTTGATTATAACCATTACACTGGAGCAGATGAAATGGAGGGACCCAATCATTTCCATTAACCAAAGTTAATAATCCCTTTTAGAAATGTACTAAGTAAGTAAATATTTTTGGTTTCACATATTTATGAAACAGTTCAGGAGAAGGCTGAAAATAGTCTTCACTGAAGGCTGCTGATGGCAGCAGATCATTTGGGTACAACAGCAGCACCAGTTAAATACATAAGAAGGTAACTGGGTTTGGTATGGATGAATGATAACCTTGGGATTTTCAAGCAAGGACCCTGATAACATAAAGGAAACTAAATACAGAAATGGTGTTTATTACTGAGAAGCAATATTAATGGCAAACTTTTGCTCATCTTTTATTCACATTAAACATATATGGAGTGGGGGTGCTGGAAATTATAAGGGAGGAAAAAATATAGTAGTTGAATCTAGGAATATCTAATATTTTTACATTTGATTTTAGGTTTGCCATCAGAGGCTTTGGAGAATGTGCTTATCTGAATGACAATGGAATCAGTAGTGCCAGGAACTACACAGATCGGAAATGGATTTGTAGCAAGCCAAACAGTTATGTCTACGGATGCCAAATGAGAAGCCCTTTATAGAATGTTCCATTAGGTCACATTGTAATTTGTTATATTCGTCTATCAAAAATATTATCAATATGCATTCATAATTTCTGTTGATAGCAAAGATACAAACCCTCATAGAATGATATAATACATACTGCTATAATACTAGCATTTGGAAGATTATGTTTCTAAATTATATACACATTTGGATATGAGTTGATGGTTATATTTTCAACATAGATATTGAAGTTAAACAATAATTTGAACTGGAGAAATTTAATAAGTTATTAATAGGGGTTTATAGTAATGGGAGATTGGTTAAAAGAAGATAAAAACACCAAAATATAGAAAAATGGTAGATGCAGGGAGGGCTGAGAAAGAACACTCATGGAAGAGATCTCCTCCCAGAGGAGGAGAGAATTCTGCAAGGGCAGAGAATCTGACCTTGATAGACAGGAGCACAACTTGGTTCAGATGGAGAAATTGGCTGAGCTGCCTTGCCAGCAGAAATTGCAGATTTGCCAGTGAGTGCTTGGGAAAGGGAACACAGGAGGATGTGATAGCTGGGAACTCATCTCCGAACCACCCCAGTGTGTGTGTGTGTGTGTGTGTGTGTGTGTGTGTGTAGTGTACACCGGTGCTTGTATAATCACTGCTGGCACTGCTCCAAGGTGAGGGCACCTCACAGGGTGTCATTAGAAGTTTCCCAGAAGAAGGTGCTATGTGTACCTGGCCCCTGGGTATTAAGGAAAATAAAAAATGTTCAGATAGCCTGAGTCTAAATTCTAGCTCTGCCCTTTATAAAACTACTCCAAACATAATTCTCTGAAACACTCATTGTCTCCATCTTTAGAATGGGAACAATTACAATGTCTACTTAGCCAGTTTTTGATGAGATTCAACTATATATTTTTAAGCACTTAGAACCATGCACAAGAAATATTCAGTACTGTTTAAGTGGTAGTGTTTATTATTTGAGTTTGTGGCTCCAGCTAGTGAATTATTTAAAACTAATATTTGATTATTTTGCACTGTTCTTTTTTTCTTTTCTTTTTTTTTTTTTTTTTTTTTGAGACAGTCTCACTCTGTTGCCCCAGCTAGAGTGCCGTGGCATCAGCCTAGCTCACAGCAACCTCAAACTCCTGGGTTCAAGTAATCCTTCTGCCTCAGCCTCCCGAGTAGCTGGGACTACAGGCATGCACCACCATGCCCAGATAATTCTTCTATATATTTTTAGTTGACCAATTATTTCTATTTTTTAGTAGAGACGGGGTCTCGCTCTTTCTCAGTCTGGTTTCGAGCTCCTGACCTTGAGCGATCCACCTGCCTCGGCCTCCCAGAGTGCCAGGAATACAAGCGTGAGCCACCGCGCCCAGCCTGCACTGTTATTTCTATCTATTTAATTCACATCTGAGATGTTCACTTTAACTTTTCTAAGCATCCAGTGATATTGTGATATAATAAGAAAAATTTAGTCTTCATCTCAGTTCCTAGCACAGAGCTCCTAAAACACTTGTAATTTCCTGAAGAATAAAGGTGATAAGAGCATATTTTGTTATATTTGGTCTTTGTCTATGATCCCTGACACAAGAGATTCTAAAACCCTTGAAGTTACCTTAGTGATAGAGGTGAGATGAGCATCTTTTGTTGCTCGTAACAAGCCCCTTTCAACCATATCTGAAATGACATGAATAAGGTGACTCTTGGTCGCCTCCTGTATAACTTCAGGACGGGAAAAGTTTATCAGAGGAAGCTACTGTGTTATTAGAGGGGTAAGACTTTCAGCCTCAGCCCTGACCACCCCCAGGGAGGAGAATGGTGCTAGAGATTGAATTAATTATCAATGGCCAGTGATTTAATCAGTCATGCCTATATAATGGATTTTCCATAAAAATCCTAAACAATGAGGCTCAGAGGACTTCTTGGTTTATATGAAGCAGCTAATTCATGTGCCAGGAGGATCGTGTACCCAAACTTCATGCAGACACCAGCTACTGTGCATGAGACCCTTTTAGACTCTGCCTTATGTACGTCTACATCAGACTGGTCACTGGTTTCTTTTTATAAAATCCATTATAATAAACTGGTAATACTAAGTAAAGTTTTCTCCCTGAGTTCTGTGAGGTTTTGTAGCAAATTAGTATGCTTTTGGAGATCTTGGAGACCCTTGACTTACAATAGCCAATTGGTCAGAAGTATGGGAGTCTTAGGACTAAGAATTGGCATGTGAGGTAGGGACAGTTTTGTGAGACTGAGTCCTTAAGATGTTGGAGTCTGACAATAACTACTCAGAGTTACTGTCAGAGTTTAACTGAACAGTTAGACATTGAGTTGGTGCCCAGAAAGTTGGAGAACTAGTTGTAGGTATAGAAAGAAACTCCATACATCTAGGGTCAGAAGTGTGAGTAAAAACAGCTCATAGTTGATGCCAGACATGCGATTTGCCAGATTGGCCTGGCTCATGGAAACATGTAGTTTGGAAAGAGAAGGGGTGAAAGGGTAGAGGTTTAAGAACTTTTGATCCCTGGATAGCTACCTATTCAGTCACAGTGTAAAACTGCAGCTGTGCTGAGATAATTACTAAACATAACCGTCACTAATGGAATTTAGAAATGGTGGTGGACGTCATTCCCAGAGGGTTGGCTCATTTGATGCATAAGGATGTGCAAAATACAAAATATGCCAAACATACAATCTTTGGTCATTGTTATTTGTAATAGCTAAATTGTAAATAAAAGAAAGTGCTGGATTGGACCTTGATGCTAGACCAAGCTCAGATTTTTATTGTGCCTCAAAGACACACACAAAGGGAAAATTTATGCCATGATAACAGAAGGTATCTCTAAGGCACTTGATGACCAAGGAATTTTCAATGTGGGAGGAGATCAAAACCAATAAACTACTGAAACCAGGTGGTATAGTGTGAGATTGTACCAATCTGTAGATTGATATCACAGGCCTCTTGAAGAACTTTTAATAGAATGTGATAGTGACTAAGTTAGAGACAGTATCTTTGATTTTAAATGCTGCTGAGTATAAGCATTTTTGAGTTGATTTAGGACACTCGGTTCATTATTAACTTATCACAAATGGCTATAATGATCCAGACACATAGGAGGTTACTCCTGAGAAAATGGCCAGCCTGGTGGACTGGAGAAAAGCCACTGTAAGATGTGTTTACCTTGAGAAGGCAGACATCCCAACCCGCCACCCCCATAAATACCAAGGGAACATCCCACATGAAGCAGCTCTTTCCCATGCAAAGCACATGAATTCGAATATGACCATTCCTCAGGCAATGGTAAATGCCCCTTTTGTAAGGACACCCTGTGCCATCTTATTGCTCCAAAATCCAATAGTCTGAGAAGCCTTACTGGATTTGCTGTCTTAGCTTTCCTGTATGGGCCTTACTGATAGAAGAAAACTAAGGAAATTAGCAGGAAAATGGGGACACACAGAGTGGAGAGTCAAAGGACTCATCCCAGCAGGGTGGAAGTCTTAGAGTCTTAGATGGTTACTTAGAAATGGGTTGAAGATGGCAGACTTTGATGGTGTCGAAACAAAGGTGATGCAGCATTATCAGAAGTGGGGTGAGTCACTGGGACAACCTGCTGATTTCCCAACCCGTGAAAGGGCCCCACACAGGTTCCTCGTATATTTACCACAGTTAAGAGAAATTAAAAATCTTAAAAACTAAGAATACAATGAGAAATTCTACTCAGAATCAACTGGGGCACTTAAGCAGGCAGATGAATCAAGGGAAAGATTGATGATGGGCCAGGATCTCCTGGGCGGACCCCTGGCTGGGGACTACAGACCATAGGCACTTGTGTAGGTAAAATGGCAGATGGGGGAGGACATTTCTGGGATTCCTTGACATGAGAGCCCTGTGATTCAGAAACACATTGGTAAAGTCTCAACAGGGAGCATGGTTACCTTGGGAAGATACAGAGATGTAACCATTGATGGGGCTAAAATGCAAGTTTGGGTGAAAATTGACGTTATTGAACAGACTTTATGTGAGGTGGTTGTGTCTTCTTTACCTGATGTATGATTGGGATAGACATTATATCTCACTGGAGATTGCTTCATGATGATGACAAAGTGATATGCATTTGCATTCAGTAGAAACTTCAAGTACTGTTCTGTACTCATATACAACTATTTTGTTTCTCACTTTCAGTATAGTATTTAATAAATTACATGAGATAGTCAACACTTTATTATAAAACATAGTTGGTGTTAGATGACTTTCCCAAATGTAGGCTAATATAAGTGTTCTGAGCAAGTTTAGGCTAGGCTAAGCAATGTTCAGTAGGTTAAATGTATTAACTGTATTTTTGACTTATGATAGTTTCACCTTATGATGGGTTTACTGGGGCATAACTCGATTGCAAGTTGAGAAACATCTGTTATGTAAAACAGAGGGCACGTAAGTCCACCCTCAAGTCACTCTTAATTAAACATGCTAAATGGGAACCACTAGAATTTCCCAAGCCCATATAAGTGGTTAATTTGAAACAATATAAAATACCTGGTGGGCAAAAAGAGATTGCCACTTTAATTAATGACATGCTAGGAACTGGAGTGCTGGTGCCAATGAACTCTTTGTATAGTAGCCCAGTATGGCCCGGGAACTAGGCAGATGATTCACAGAGACTAACAGGAGACTACTGAGGCTTAAATAAAGTTGTACCAACCATAGCTTCGGCAGTCCCAGACATGGTTTCAACAAGGTAAAAAATGTAACAGGCTAAAGAGATCGGTGCCCAGAGTTTGATCTTTCATCACTCTCACTCTTGAATCCCAATTTACTTTTCATGTCCTGGTACAGGGTTATCTAAACTCACCAGCTTATTGTCATAATTTGGTCAGAAGGGATTTGGGCTTTAGGCAGGTCCCAGGTGTAATAACGCACTATATTGATATTACGACGATAATATAGAAAACTGAAGAGTGAGCTGGGATTGCTTTAAAAGCAGTGGGGACTCACATGATCAACCAAGGGCTAGTTAATGAATCCAACAAAGATCCAAGGGCCTCCCCAGATGGTAAAATTTTTAGGAATAACCTGAGAAGGAGCCAGTAGGGAGCAGCACAAGCAACAAAAAATAAACTGCTATTTATCTGTTGTGATGTTTCTTCTTTCACTTATTTATTTGAGTGTTCAATCTTTTGTTCTTAGTTATTCTAGCTAAGGGCTTTTGTTTATTTTTTCAAATAAACCAACTCTTAATTTTATTGATTTTTTGTATAATTATTTGCCAACATGTTGGGTAACCTAAAGGAGATGTATAATTCCTAGAAACACAAATCCTACCAAGATTGAATCAGAAAGAAATAGAAAGCCCAAGTAGATTACTAACAGAGATTGAAGTAATAAATTAAAATCTCCCCAAAGGAAAAGCCCAAGACCAGATGACTTTACAGCTGAATTCTATTAAACATGAAAAGAATTAGTACCAATCCTTCTTAAAGTTTTCCAAACAGATATGACGAGAGAGCATACTAACAAACTCATTTTATGAGGCTAGTATCCCTCTGACGTGGAAGCCAGACAGAGGCACCAGTTGCATGCACACAGAGTCACCACGTGGAGGGCACTGAGGGAAGGCTGTCTGCAAGCCCTGGAAAGAGGCCTCAGAAGGAACAGCCCTTTGATCTTCCACTTCCAGCCTCTAGAATGTGAGACAATAAATGTCTGTTGCTTAAGCTGCCTCCCCGCTACCCCAAAAAAATAAAGCTAGGAAAAGACATGAGATGAAAAGAAAATTACGGGCCAATTATCTCTGATGAACACAGATGCAAAATCTTCAATAGAATAATAGCAAACCAAATCCACCAAAACATTAAAAAGATCATACATCCAAAAAAGTGGGATTTATCTCTGGGATTTAAGTGTGGTTTCACATATGCAAAGCAATCTAGGTGATACACCACATTAATGGAATGAAAAAAGAAACACATGATCATCTCAATTGATGCAGAAGAAGCCGTTGACAAAATTCAACATGCTTTCTTGATAAAAGCTCTCAACAATTTCCATACAGAAGGAAATTTCCTCAATGTAATAAAGGCCATTTATGAAAAGCCCACAGCTAACAGTATAATCACTGGGGAAAGTCTGAAAGTTTTTCCTATAAGATCTGTAACAAAGTAACACCCCCACTCTCACCACTTGTATTCGTTACAATACTAAAAGTACAAACAAGAACAATCAAACCAGAAAAAGAAATAAAACCATGCAAATCGGAAAGTAAAATCACCCGTTTTTTAGATGACATGTAAGAACCCTAAGAAGCTACACATACACACAAAAAACTTTTAGAACTAATAAATAAATTCACTAAAGTTGCAGGACACAAAATCAACATGTAAAAAGTAGTTGCACTTTTGTACACCAATAATGACCTTTCTGACAAAGGACTCAAGGAATAAAACCCATTTTTAATAGCATAAAAAAGAATGAAATATTTGAAAATAAATTTAATTAAGGTGGTAAATATCTGTAGACTGGAAACTTTATGGTTTTATGACACTAATGAAAGAAATTAAAGAAGACACAAACAGAAAAATATCCTGCTTCATCTAGTGGAAGAATTAATATTGTCAAAATGTCCATATTACTCAAAAGCAATGTACAGATTCAATGCAATGCTTATCAAAATTCCAATGGCATTCTTAACAGAAATAGCAAGAACAATTCTAAAATTACTATGGAATTACAAAAGACCCCAAATAGGCAAAGAAATCTTGAGACAGAAAAACACAATTGGAGACATCACATTTACTGACATCAAATTATATTCCAAAACTATAGTAACCAAAACAGACATCAAAACCAATGGAACAGAATAGAGAGCCCAGAAATAAATTTGAGTGTACATAGTCAACTAAATTTCAACAAGGGTACCAAGAAGACACAATATGAAAAAGTTAATCTCTTCAATAAGTGGTGTTGGGAAAACTGGATATTCACATGCAAAAGGATAAACTTGGACCGTTATCATATACCTTATACAAAAATCAACTCAAAAACTTAAACGCAAGACCAAACCATAAAACTCCTAGAAGAAAACATAGCAGAAAAGTTCCTTGATGCCAGCCTTGGCAATGAGTTTTTGGATATGACACCAAAAAATCAGAAAACAAAAGCAAAAATAAAGAAGTAGGATTACATCAAACTAAAAATCTTCTGCATCCCAAAGGGAACAATCAACAAAATGAAAAGGCAGCCTACAGACTGAGAGAAAATTTGCAAACCATATATTTGGTAAAGGGTTAATATCCAAAATATATAAGAAACTTTCACAACTCAATAGCATGAAAACAAATAATATGATTTAAAAAACTGGGCAAAGGGCCAGGCACGGTGGCTCCTGCCTGTAATATTAGCACTCCGGAGGCTGAGGCAGGCTGATCAGCGAGCTCAGCAATTCGAGACCAGCCTGAGCAACAGTGAGATCCCGTCTCTGCCAAAAAATTGAAAGAAATTAGCCAGACAACTAAAAATATATGGAAAAAATTAGCCGGGCATCATGGGGCTTGCCAGTAGTCCCAGCTCCTGGGGAGGCTGAGGCAGGAGGATTGCCTGAGTCCAGGAGTTTGAGGTTGCTGTGAGCTAGGCTGATGCCATGGCACTCTAGCCAGGGCAAAAAATGTGACTATGTCTTAAAATAATAATAAATAAAACCCTGGGCAAAATCCTTAATTCGAAATCTCCAAAGAAGATGTACAAATGGCCAAGTATATGAAAAGATGTTCAACATCACTAATCATCAGAGAAATGCAAATTAAAACCACAACCACCATCATCTCACACTTGTTAGGATAGTTATTATCAAAAAGTCAAAAGATAAGTGTCGGCAAGGGTATGGAGAAGAGTGAACCCTGTTGGTGGGAATGTAAATTGGTGCAGCCATTAGGGAAAACAACATGGAGGTTCCTCAAGAAATGGAAAATAGAACTGCTACATCATCCAGCAATTCCCCTTCTGGGTATATAGCCAAATGAATGCAATCAGCACCTTGCAGAGATATCAGCACACATGTTTGTGATGAAATTATTCACAATTCACATAAAGATAGAACCCGAATCCATGGACAGGTGAATAGATAAAAAAAAAATTGGGTATATATAATAGAATTGGATATTACCCAGCCTTAAAAAAGGGAGATCCTGGCATTTATGATAATACTGGCGAACCTGGAAAAGCTTATGCTAAGTCAAATAAGGCTGACACACACACAAAAATAGGGAATTTTTTGCAGAGGGATCACTGCATGATCCCTCATGTATGTGGAATCTAAAAGACTCCCAAATACTTGAATACACAGAAACAGAGTAACACAGTGGTCATTGTGGGCAGATAAGGGATGGGTAAGAAATGGGGAGATGTAGGTCAAAGGGTACAAAGTTGCAGATGAATAAATTTACAGATCTAATGAAGAACATGAGAATTAGAAGTATAATATTGTATCATATACTGGAAATTTGCTGACAGTAGATTTGGGGTGTTCTTTCTACACACACATGCATACACACACACATATACACACACACAAAAGTAACAGTGGAAGATGATGAATATGTTAAGTTGCTTAACTATAGTGACCATTTCACTATGTGTAAGTATATCAAAATTTCATGTTGTATCCCTTAAACATATACAATAAAAGGGCAAATGTATTTCAAAAACTAAGAAAAGAGATTGTTTTGAAAATTAGATGCAAAGTGTATAAAGTGTTTAGCCGAGTGCCAGGTACTTAGCAGATACTTAATAAACAGTAGCTACAATAACCAAACAAAACAAAAACAAAAACAAAAACAAAAACAAAAATGCTGCTGTCATTACTCACACCTAGGACCAAACTAGAAGACAAAGTTTGATTGATCCATTTAGGTTTTGGAGAACCCATACCTAACAACGTAGAATATTGCTACCTCCTACAATGAGAATGCCTGAAACAAAGCAGTGTATGAGTGAGGACCTAAACAAGGCAGGGCTTGTCTGAATTACAACAAATGGTAGCTCTCTCGATGCCTTTGGGCCCTTACATCCCCACTCAACTATGATTTTATAATACCATAAAAGTGTCTGTCACTCTCACTCATGTAGACTGGAGTTTATGGCAATAGCCCACTAGTGCCTCCCAGTGGTGACCTTGGGGATTTTGAGTTAGAAAATTTCCAGATGCTGTTACCTGGTACACACCATTTGACAGACAACTACTAGCTGCTATTGGGCATTAACTGAGATTGATGACTAAAGAACATCAAAATATTCATTAAATCTGAGATAACCATAATGTCTTGGGTGATGTCAGAGAAATGTTCTAATAAGGAAGTTCGTGCCCATCATAGAACCATAATAAAATGGAAATTTTATTTTCCACAAAAGCATGCAACCAAGGGGTATGCAAGAAGGTATCCACCATATGCATGAAAAGGTAAGACTGAAGTTTCAAAAATATAGACAAAATAAGACTATAATGATTGAATAACTAATTCAGACAAAAACAATTTTCTTCATACTAAGCATTTTTATAACATTTTATTTCATCTATCATCCTTCCTACAACTCTGAGAAGTAGTACTATACCCACGCGAATCATAAAAGAACACACACAAATACACACCCATATACACACGCATGCTTGTGCACAGAGCCATCTAAGACACAGAGAACCTGCCGGACTTTCCTGTGAGTTCCAACTTGATGGCCTGTTTGTCTTTCAGTTGCAGAAATGAAGACTGACTTTCTGCAGAGTGGATTACAGTTCACAGATCCACTGATTATAATTCCTACAATTTTGTGCAGTAATAATATTGCCAGACACCTCGGCACATTTCTTGCTTCGGGTCTGTGGTTCATTTTTGTTTATTGAAAACCTGTAGAAAGAAAGAAGTTATATTTACACCAGCCATGAAATATATCCAGAGACTAAAGAGGAACTCAGTAAATAGTTTCCAATTGTTTAATAAAAGTATGGTCATTAAAAGACTGTAAACAACAATATAATGGGTAAAGCAATTCTTCCCACTCAGAGTTTTATTCTCAAACCTCTCTCCAGAGTAGTTAATAGTTATTGAGTATTAGTTAGAGGATATGGTCAATACTAAAATCTTATCTACAATTTTTTTCATTTAAAACTGATCACTATTAGAAATGAGCGGAAACTTACATTTTGTGACCTAAACTGCTCTCATAAGAGATTTTACACTTGCTAATTCACCTCTTAGATGAAGTGATACAATAAAAAGGCATCAGTGGCAACTCCTATTTCACGCATAAATCTCCAGAGTGGATGCAATAAGATTTCCTTTGCTTCTCAACTTTCTCTGTGGACTATTCTATGTGAATTATTTATCAGATTGTAAGAGAAAGTCAGGAAATGTAATACATGTTCACTCACTTCAAGACCAACACTATCCGAATACCCTTTCTCGTCATGTAACAAGGGATTAAAGCACAGACTATAACACAATAAACTCACAGGTGGCTGAGATTGAAAGAGCTGTTGTCCACCCAGGTCCACGACTCCCCTTCAGGTGGAATATTCAAGCCAATCCAATAAAAGGCTGAAGATTTTTGATACAACCACAGGAAACTCTAAAGGGAACAGTGGATGTGGTATGAAATAACTTTCTGATTCTTATTGATTAAAAAAAACCTTCTCTGTGCAACTTCTGTGTGCTTAGCACTGCACCAGAAGTTGGGAATGAACAGGTGAGTAAAACATACTTTATGTTTTCCAGTAGATCATAGTGGAGGGACAGACTTGTAAACCAACCACTGCAATTAAATATGGTGTGATGGAAGCAGATACTAAAGGCTGTGGCATCAACTGCCTCACTTGGGTCCTAGCTCTATCACTTACTCCTGTGCACCTTTGCACAAGTTATGAAATCTTCTTACTTCTGTTTTTACTAGTCTTTAAAATTCAGATAAGAACAGTAGCTATCTCTAAGAGGTATTATTGTTATTAAATAACATTATTAAACATTGCCTGGCACAGACTAAATGCTCAGTACACAAATGTTCATCATTATTACTAAGCACAATTATGAAATAATATATAGAAGCAAGAGAATATATAGGGAAATTAAAGAAAGAAAGCAATATCTTAGCTGATGTGGCTCATATTGCTCCTACTTCCCTACTGTCTCTTTTTCTTATAGTAATCCAACTGAGCCAAAGTACATGGACAGCCCTAATAAAGTAATCCCTGAGCCAAAGTACATGGACAGCCATAATAAAGGCTATATTTTCCCCCCTGCTTTTTGGCTGGGTGTGACAAAACGATTGACCTAATTTCTGACTAATGGAACAGAATGGAAGCACCACCCTCATGAGGGTGATGAGCAGAAACCCCACAGCACTCTGGACTATTATGTCAGCGAGATAACCTATTACATATATTAAAAGACAGACTTGTCCCAGTTTTAACATTTTAAAATTGGAAATATCTAATAATCAATGACTTGTGATAGTTTAATTGACAGCTTTATTTTTGCTTTCTAATTGATACATCATATGATTGAAAGCATCTTAGATTCAGTGAAAGAAGTGATGAACTAAAATAAAAACTTAAGCTCCCAGCTGACTGAGTGGGTCCCTCTCGGCCAAGGGAACCCTCCCCACCTCAAAAAAGAGAAACACCTTAAAGCTCAGTTGCCAGCCATGAGGAGAAGGGAGGTCGGACACGCCTAGTTATGCCCTGTCTGCCTCTTTCGAAGTTATTCTTTGAAACAATGAGATACAAAAATCATCAACAGGCCTAAAGCCATTTAAGCCAAACATTAAACCACATATGCAGGTCATCAATTTACTTACCGGATCTCTTGAGTCTTGGTATATGTCTGGTGTACCTCTGGTTGCTTGTCTCTGATTAATTATCTTAACTTAAAACACTCCAAGCCTTTAGACAATGCTTCATTTCTTTAATCAATTGCAAATCCAAGAATCTTTAAACCCACCTATAACCTGTTACACCCCTGCCCCCCACCATGGCTTTCAGATATCCTGCCTTTTCAGTCCAAACCAATGGGCATCTTCTGTGCGTTCATTTATGGTTTTAGATGAAATTTCTGTCTCCCTAAAATGTATAAGACCAAACTGTAACCCAAGCACAGCAGGACCATGTGCTCAAGGCTTTTGCAGCGTGGCTCTCTGGGCTGCAGTTGCATATATTCAGCTCAGAATAAACGTTTTTAAATTATTTTACAGAGTTTGGGTTCTTTTCTGCTGGCAACGTAAACATTTATCTTGTTCAAGCAACAATAATTCTGGTTCTCAGTCACATGCAACTGAACTCACATGCTAAATGACAGCTGTTTTCTGGAAAATCAATAGTCATTAGGCATACAAGGGAGAAAATAGTGTTTTTCCATCAAATTACCTGTGCTCTACGTTAAAAAAATCAGTTGACTATTTGTATTGGTCTATTTCTGGCTTCTGTATTGAATTTTACTGGTCTGTATATTTCTCTTTTGCCAATACTGTATCATTTTGATTAATTTAGCTTCTTACAGTAAGGCATGAAATTGAGCAGTGTAGGTCCTCCATTCTTCTGCTTGCTTTGGGTTTGGTTTGCTCTTATTTTTCTAGTTGTTTTTTTTAAGTAGGACCTTAGATTATTGATTCTACATTGTCTTATTTTCCAAAATAGGCATTTAATATCATATATTTCCCTTAAACTCTGCTTAAACTAAAATCCACTAATTTTGATGTTATATTTATATTTTCAGTTAACTCAAAATATATTTTTATAAATTTCCTCTAATACTTCCTCTGACTTATACATTATTTAGAAGTGTGTTTTTTAATTTCAAAACATTTAGTAATTTTCCAAATAGCTTTCTGTTTTTAATTTCTAGTTTAATTTTTTTATTATCTGAGACATAATTTTATTTACTATTTTTTTTTTTTGAGACAAAGTCTCATCCTGGCTAGAGTATAGTGGCATCATTATAGCTCACTGCAGCCTCCAACTACTGAGCACAAGCAATCCTTCTGCCTCAGCCTCCCAAAGTACTGGGATTACAGGCGTGAGCCACCATTTGCAGCCCTGAGGCATACTTTTTCTATGATACCTATAATTGTAAATGTTTTTAATTTTTTTTGTCCCCAAATATGATCTACATGAGAGGTCACATGTACTTAAAAAGAAGGTATAGGCTGCTGTTGTTGGATAGAGTTTTCTGTAATTTCAATTAGACCAAGTTGGTTGATAGTGTTGCTCAGTTTTACCTATGAGTTTTTTTTGTTTGTTTTTTTTTGGACTTTGGTCTATGGTTTTTAAAATTACTTAGAAGTATTTACATCTCCAACTATCATAGTGGATTTGTTCATTTCCCCTTTCAGTTTTCTGTTTGCCTTACTGTACATACATTTAGAAACTGACCTTTGTTGTGGGCTGTGGGACTCAGAAAATGGAATATTATGGGCTGAATTTGTGCTTCCCCAAAATTCATATGTTGAAGCCTCAGGCCCCAGGGCCTCAGTATGTGACTGTATTTGGATACTGGGCCTTTGGTGATGTGATTGAGTTAAAATGAAGCCATTAGGGTGGGCCCTAATCCGATTTGACTGGTGTCCTTATAAGGAGAAGAAATTTGGACACAGAGATTTACCAAGGATGTGCTCACATGGAGGAGAGACCCTGTGAGGACACAGTGAGATGTGGCCATCTGCAAGCCAAGGAGAGAAGCCTCAGAAGAAACCAAGCCTGCTGACACCTTGATCCTGGGCTTCGAACCTTCAGAACTCTAAGAAACACATTTCTGTTGCTTAAGCTGCCCAGTCTAAGGTACTTTGTTCCAGCAGCCCTAGTAAACTTTATGACACCTTTATCATGACATAGTATCCCTCTTTATTCTCAGGAGTGTCTTGTTTTTTCTTGTCCTCTATATGCCTCATATTTGTTTGTTGAAAGATGGACAACTTGTCTAGAACAGTAGAGATTGAGTTAAACAGTTTTGTGTTTGGAAAAAAGCACACAGGTCCTTTTCCTAGGTCTTTTAATGTGCGGCTTCAGTTAATCTTTAAGAGTTGGGCTAGATTTGTGATTTGTTCTTGCTGTGGTTATCCTCATTGTTTCCCACACTTCAAATTCCTGTAATGATATCTGGTATTTAATGCAGGGTTTGTTTGCCAGATGGAAACCATCTTGACCTTGACCATTTAAGTTTTCCGTTTCCACTGTGTCTCAGAGAGGATCTCTCTGCACATTCCTACTCCTCTCCTTTTCTTCTTCCAGCAGCGTTCTTCTTTACTCCTTTTTGAAACATGTTATCTTGACTGTGGAAGGCAGTGGATGGGGGTGAGCTTTGCTGTTCTGATTATGCCCATGTCCCTGGGTATGGCCCCCTAAGTTGTCTGCCAATGTCCTGGATGTATTAATACTTGTGGGCCCAGTGTGCATTCCTGCCCTCCCGAAAGAGAAGACTTTTTCTTCTCACTTCGGCTCACCTGCAATGGTGTTTCTCCAGTTCCCTACGGGCAACAGTGTTTGGTCATTTTCCCCAACATGCATTAAGTCTTTTGTTCCCTAGGATGGGCAGCAGACTGGGAGGAAGGTCCTGTGGAATTCCTTTGCACTTATATTTTATTGCTGCTTTTGTTTCTCAAGTCTGCATCACAACGAACACATCCTTAAGAATCTTTCCCATCATTTCTATGAGAGCCTGGTAGAGTTTGTAGAGAAACAGTCTGCCAGAGGTGGTGGAATTCCCTGGCTTTTGCAGACCCTAGAAGCTTCACACTGTTCTGCCATACTTACTCAGCTTTTATCCATTTTTCAATTATTCTGATTGAATTCTCACTGGTGTCTGGTATCTGATTTGTCTGCTAAGAAAGTAAGGATGTATCTCCTCTCTCCTACATGTGCCTGCACCCATAGATTTTGGCTAGCTGGATGTTCTACAAACTTTACTCTCTAATGGATTTGGGGGGAAAAAGTTGAGAATTCGAAGTTATTTTTCATTGTAAAAGTAGTAGCAACATTTCTTTGAGATATCTGCATCGTGGGAGTAAAAGCCATACACTTCTCTTGCCTTTTTTAATACCTCCCTTTCTCCTCTCATCCCCCCATCCTCCTTCCTTCTTTTATCTTTATTTTCTTGCCATGTGTTGACACATGGGTATCCTAGATGAGCTAATAATTATTACTGGTGGTTTGGGTTGGGTTTTTTGTGTGGTTTTTTTTGCCATTTTATCTTTAACTAGCTTGAGAGCTTAAAAATAATTTGCTAGAAAATCATTTTCTGTTTCCTAGAGTAATTTTTCTTCTTATATATTTTATTTGTGTTTTGCTTTTCCATTTTTGGAGAGGTTTGGAAATGTAGATGCCCTGATTCCTTCTAGATTCTCATTTATCCTTGAAAGGGAACAATTTGTCTGACCCATTTATTTCCTTAGGAATAATGTGAAAAAGTATAACCTAAATTAGAGTAAGTTTCCATTAAAATATGTTGTTTATACCACTGGTCTCCAAAATCTGGTTTCTTGTGTGCTGAGGAGACATGTCTTTTCTGCATTTCTTTCTACATTTTTCCCTTTGATTGTGAGAAGGAAATATATGGGATTCTTAGTAAAGTTATTCATTGTGTGATTTCTCCTTGTAATAATTTATTGTTTTATTCTTTTAGAACATTCTTGTTAGAAGTCTGTTTCCTCTTTCTTGTCTATTAAAAGTGAACTCTAGAAGGAGAACAAAGGTCTCTTTTCAATTCTTAACTCTGTTCCTGATTTAGTTCATATTTTGCTGCACCTGATAGAATCTTACATTTTGTTATTTTGGGTTACATTGGTTACACTGAAAATAGTTTACTTCTTTCTTTTGTTGTTGTAAATTTCTGTGAAAGTCAAAAGGGGTTTTCCCCCTCCTCAGAAGTCTCAAGAGCTTCTTCCCTTTTGTAAATCCTAGATGGCTAATATTCGGCCAGGATTGAAAAGCACTGCTAGTCTTTGGGCTTGCAGAAACAGCCATTGAAGCAGCTTGTGATTCTAACATACCAAGTCTTATGCTGAGAACCCTTATTTGATGTTTACAATTTAACATATGTATATTGGCCTTATTAATTAGAAGGCTTAAAGTAGCATCCAATCTTCGTTTATCAAAGCTTCAATTTAAATTATGTCAGAGTTAGCTAAATACTAGCTCTCCTCAAGAAACAACTAAATTTAAGTAAGTAGTACTATTCTGTATTTCCTTTCTCACAACATCTTCCTTACCTTTAGATATCTAGCTGCAATCCTCATTAGCATTACAATAAACACAGGAGGTAAAATAAGATATTTAATCTCCTACATTTTGAAATGAAATCTGGTAAGGAGCAGGGATGTCTTATGGAAAAAAAAAAACTTGAGTATATAACACCAAATGAATTCCTCCTTCCACTAGCCAAAAAGAAGTATAAAGTAATGATATAGTTCAACAATTTATCCAACTAATATTTGAATATAGTTAATAGCACATAAAATTAAAAAAGAATTTCACATGTATTTGCCAAGTGTGTAGCACAAGAAATCTCATTGCAAATGTGGTAGATGCTATAACCTTTAAGTATTTAATCTTACCATATCAGTAAAGTCTTGGATCACTATGAGATGTGAATTTTTCATGGCACATTCATTTTGACTTTCATGCCAAGATTTCTTAGTTTCAGCAACCCAGTAACAATTCCCCCCATGCAGCTTCCAGTCTTTGGTGGGGCAAGATTTATGGACAGTTGAAGAGTTGGAAGAAACTGGAAGAAAAAAAGATAAGTAATTAAAGAAACAAAGAACTATATCCTAATAATGTGTACTGATTGAAAAAAAGGCTCTCAAAATTTGTGCACAAGTGCTAGGATTCTAAGATCAAGCCTTGGATTTGCTGAAAGGTGAGGGAGGGAATCTGTGAGACTCTTAAATTAGTCAAATGTCTCAAAAGCACCTCAAGTCATCTAATCACAGGTATATGTATCAAAAGGAAATACAAAGAACAAATTTGACCACTGAGTGTTTTAGATATTTAAATAATTATATGTATTATAAATAATAATGTGTAAGTTATTTTAAAGAACAAAAGAAGAAACAAAAAGTGATAACAAAAGACTATCAAGAGCTAAGAAGTTTAAAAATAAGTCCTTTGATTGAAAACTGTTAATATTATAATTGGAATTAGAAACTCAATGAATATGTTAGCATAGTAGACACAGGAAAAGAGATAATTTGGGAACTTAAAGATATTACTGAAAATATTACCAAGAATTCAGCACAAATTGACAACAATAAGGACAAAATGAGAGGATAAAAGGAGAGGAAGCAAAGCCCAATGCATATCTAATTTATGTCCCAGAAAGAAAATAGAAGGTTGAGAAAGAATTTGGAATGATGGCTAAAAAAGTCCATGAAGGTTTACTCTACATGTTTTGTCTATCTGGTTATTTTATTAAGATCAAACACATTTAGATTTGGTATAATTTCCTAATTAATTGAAACTGAGGCTCAAAGAGAGATACCTTATACATTTGTAACAATAGTATAAAAATTAAACAATAGAATAGACAGAATTTAAAGCTATAGTTTTATTTATTACCACCCTGTGTCATATATATAAAGGCTACAATAAAGTGCTTTTGCTTTGGGGATAATATTGCACAATGTCCCACTGGTGAGAGAAAATTATTAACATATGTTGTATGAGATAGATTTAGACTGTGGTTGAGGGGGTGTGGTTGAGGGGCTGGGGAAACATCAAAATCCAATGTAAAGCCTTAATGAGTTCCCTGAATTTCAATGTACCTTATAATATGGACATGGTGGATAAATATTTTTAATGGATTATATCTGAATGGTCAAAAGAAGAAAGGTATATGGTATTTTCATACAGAAGTAAAATGCAAATTAGCAGATTAAAAACAATCTAAGAAAATAGAAAGACCATCTAATTGAATGTTTTTAACCTTTGAAAATATGAAAATATATTCACATGAGAGAGCAAGAGAAAGACTAACAAAATTATCATTTAAATTTTCTGCACATAGTAAAATTAAAAAATTGACCAAAAACTACCTACAATGACCATAAATTTTATTTTAACTCCATCCTGCACCTGGACGTGTCCCAATAGAAAAGTAATAAAATACAGTTTTTAAATGAAATACCTTTAAATTCATTTAAAACTGATTATATAAGCTTATTTTTTTTTCTTTTTGCCTTGGGCCTTTAAAAATTTTGTCCATGGATTGTAATGATCCCATGAAAAGCAATGATCTAAACCATCCCTCCATAGGGGTAGAAGAGCCTCTCCTCTGTTCAGATATCCTCAGGAAAAATTAAGAATACTATTCATGTTTGGTTACTCAGGAATTAGGAAGTATCTAATAATATTACCAGTTGAGGTGATCGTTTCAGATTTATTTCCCCCAGTACAGGGTTTCCCTTTTTGTTCATTATCCACATTGGTGTGTCTTGCAGAGTTGAACTGGACAACTAATGAAAGAAGAAACATATTTTCTTAATTAAACACATAGCACAAAACCACTGGGTTCTAGTGACTCTGTGAAGTCCAGTAATGTGGACATTCCATAGCAAGTTAGATGATTAAAAATTTAAGGGGAAAAATAGCACTATTTTTTCTAAGATTTGGAGTTTCACTTGTAGTTTTATGAATCTTAGTATTGTTAACTTTAGGAGGATTGAAAAAATATGATCTGAGACCAGAGGAATATTCGAGTTACTTATTTTAACAAGCACAAAATGTCCAGCTCTGGATATGAGCCTCATTTAGCTGGTCTGTGTTCGGTGGGTTTCTATAAATTATATTAGATGTCACGTACTTGATGGAAAGAGTTTTGTATGTTTTGGTTTTGGTTTAGGATTCTGTTCCTTTTGAGATACTGCACGTAGAGTTACCCAGAGTAGATTTTGTATAATAAAAAAAAAATATTTCTCTTTCTGATAGCCACTTAACAGAAACTATCTTTGGTAATTTATAATTCTGCAGTAGTGTGTATCAGGCAATTAGTATTGATGATATAAAACAAAATAAATATACCTGAAAATAATAAAAGTTAATATTTAATGGTGCTTGTCATGTGCCAGGCGCTAACACGTGGTACTATGTTCACAATACAATTAACACATTTAATGTATTAAATATATTACATCTAATACTTACATTGATATAGAATATTTTTAATACTTACAATGTACATGTGTCATAATACATTGTATCCAAAGTAAGAAATCTATTAATGGTGTAGCTGGGATTGGAAAACAAGCTCTTGGCTCTAGACCAGTCATGCACATTGTTGCTTTCTAGATAAACTTTTTTAAAAGACATCTTATATTTAAAAACTACTTTAGTAACAAATACATTTTAATAACAAATATGTCTTACTAAACAACTACTATTTTAGTAACAAACAAATCTATTATGTTAAAATAACAAAAAGAAATAGAGCATAGATTTTAATGTTAATTATTTTTGCTTCCCCTCCTTCCAATTTTATAGTGTGCATTAGGCTGTTGGCTGGTTGTATTAAAATAGTCAAACCACTTATCTCCCTGGGCTTCAGACTGCTCATCTAATCTAGGCCTGCTGCCTTGCTGATTTCTAGAGCTCATTATAGTTCTAAAATTCTATGGCTCTGCCTATTTACTTATAATTACTAATACCATCCATAATTACAAATATTATTCACTGGGATTCAGTGACATAGACAAATACTACATTGACCTGCCCTAGAATTTTGTTTAATCTTGAGGCCTGCATTACTTGGAATATATCATCTATATATTATCTCTGTCCTATAGATATTCATAAAGAACTTTTCTTCAAGTATGCATTCAATAAAATATTGAAATAATTACCATATGAATAATTGGGCTATGTTCAGCTCTGTCCAAAGTACATGAGTATAATTTTTAAATGTTCAATTGAATTGATTCATTTTAGACAAATTTCTCACCTGTTAATACAAGACTGATGATGCCTGGGAGTAGCCAATATGAATAAGCTTACACAGAAATACATTTCATAATTTAATTCGCTTTCATCTGCACATGCTTTTAGAGAAATCTATGTCTATTCCACTATCAAACTGCACTAGGAAATTCATTGCTTGATTTTGGTAACAAAACATAATCCAATCTTGACTTCTCTTTCCTTTATCAACGAGATGAATCCATACTATATATTTTATCACATTTAAGTTCTGTAGAAAATCTTTAATTTTAGTTATGTATTAAATTTCATACTTTTTGTAAAGTTGTACTGTATTGCTTAGGAACCACTTAAATAGCAAACACAATTACAAGTTATGAGTGAATAATATTTTGAGATAGATAGTATTGCTAATCACTTACCCAAAATGCTCAGTATAATTACTATTACCAAGAGGATGATGATCATTGCACATCCAACTTTCATGAAAATTCCATGATGGTGAGAATCTAAAAAATTGGATAGATTTTACTAGCAAGCCCAGCAGATAATTCCTTAGATGGTAAGAGGTAGCAGAAGAATAGAATAAACTTTCTCACTTATCATGTTTCTAAGTTACTTTTCTTTAAAATACATAGACCCACTTTCCTTTTTCATTCACACACAAACACATACAGAAAAAAAACCCCACACGTGTGTGTGTGTTCTCTGATTTGTGGAAAGGGGGACCTATAAAACTGTCAGTGAATATGAGTTTTTCCTTGTGAGTTAACAGTACATAATTCTGCAGTAGTAATCTGATTCATGATCAACTCTCTGTATCCCTAGGTTTTCATATAAGACCATGAAACCCTCAGTATTCTCTAATAAGCTTATTTACAGAAGTTATTTGAGTTGATATTTTTTGTTTCTTCCTTCATATAGTGTATCTATTTCCTATGATACTTAATTGTTATTTCATAAAACCTTACATTTTAAAATGAAAGTAATTTTAGGGATTACTTTGTTCAATACCCATGTGTTAAAATGGGGATATTCAAGTTCCCAGTCACACATTTACTTGATAGCAGAGCTGATATCAAGCCTCAAGTCTTTCGACTCCCAGACCAGTGCTGCGTTCACTACCCACAATACCTCATCGCATTTGGGAGTTTCAAAAGGTAACAAATAAACCAAATAAAAAGCTGGTATTTTTTAGCTTTAGGCTGACAGTTAATATCAAAAGTCTCTATTACAACATAATTATAGTACATCAATTCTACTAGATATATGATATATACACACATACATACAATGCAGTGAGAAGGTACTAAAAATAGCTGATGTTGAAACACAATCAGTTCTAAAATCACATGTGAAGATTGGCTAACCAGAATGTTTATTTGGTATATTATTATTACAGAGTACTTTGTCTTATGTTCAAATTATTGTTGTTATTGATTAAAGCATCTTTAGTGGGAATTTGTTAATTTTCAAAACATTAAAATAAGTCCATATATTTTCATTCATCAGACGAAACAGTCCCAATTGTGGAAGTCAGGGCAATTACAAGAACATGCTAATATCACTAAATATGTTTCTAATATGAAGACCTGAGATTACAGACCCCAAAATTGAGGCAAATAAAACTTCAGATTTCATAAAAGGGCCAACATAGAGATATTAGTTCATTCTTTTAGACCCTTGAAGTAAGATTTAAGCAAAGCATGAATTCCTGAATCTTAGCCTCGGGTATTCTCAGTTCAGTCGTACTCTCTCACTGATACTCTGTTCGGTTCCCTGGTGACATTCCTCTTTATTTTATATCTTGGAGAACCAATGAATATATAAGATATGTTGAGTGTTTAATGAGATTCATTTATTTATTCATCCATTTACAAATTCCTGTACTTATCAAGTACCTATTGATTGCCTACTGTGAATTTAGTAGTGTTTGAGGTTATGGGAGTACAAAGATTAAGAGATTAGGTAGAAAGACTCAATAGAGACAAGGCTCTGAAACGGTAAGGAATATGGTAACTTTTAGGAGCAAAGAGAAGGCAACGTCCAGAGCAAAGTAAGTGAAAGGTGAGAAATTAGAAGAGGTAAGGGACATTTGTGTGGGACTCTGTAGGACTTCAGTTTATCAGATAGCTCTTTCCCTCCACAGTGATGTGACACATGAGAATGCAGTTACATTTATCCAACACTAAATACACACAGTGAAAAGAGCAATAAGATATTTGACTTTCAGTCTTAAGCATCATTATAGGTAAGTAGTTTCGTCTTTATATGGTTACATTTTCTCATTTTTAACATTATAAGATTGGGCTAGATAACATTATAAATGTCCCCAAATCTATAAACAAGGAAGGGAATAAAATAAGGTTCTATCTATAAACAAAAAGAAAATTAAAGGCTGGAATGTAAGAAAATATTTTTTTCTTTGTGGAACTGAATTAGTGAAACAAAATGTCTGTTCATACAGGTTATTATAGTTTTGGTCTAGAACTAGAAAAATAACTCCTTGTGTGAGACATTTTAAGGGTGGGGGAAGAAGAATGCAGTTCTAGTTTATGTTATTTTTTAAATTATGTTTCACCATCTCATAGGAAATGAAAGTGCCTAGTGTAGGAAGAAAAGAAACAAGATTAGCCTCTACTGGATAAATTAGAGAGGTAAGGTTTAAAATAAAAAGTAAGGTGCTCCTGAAATCAGAGAAGAACACACATTAGATTCATTTGATTATTGCAAGCTTTTGAAAGTGTAAAGAAGCAAATCATTCTTTGGAAATATAGACAAACAAAACATCATTCATTCCACAAGGGCATGTGCAAAGAGAAAGAGATCTTAAGTAATTTAAACATTTTATAAGAACTTTATAATAAAAATATTGTATCCTAGAGGAGAGAACACAAAGGTAACATAGCAAAGACATTCCTCTCATGCTTCAGGGAATAGAAAATACACTGAGTTTCAAAATTTGCCATTTTTGAGGTGGCTTTGGGACTAAGGCACAATATTAACTTTAGCCATATACCTATCTCCTAATATTCCAAAAATATTCAATTACTCAGTCATTAAATCTAAACTTTATGAAATAAAATACTAACATTTTATGTCTTCTTAATTTATTTAACATATTTATTCTATCAATATACAAACTCTAAAAAGATAAATAACATTGTGAATGATTGGCATAAATAATTGCCTCTGAGTAAATGAATTTATCATATTATGTTAGAATGACAGATTTGATCAAGGATGAGCAAATCTATAAAGCAGAAAGGGGTAATAAGTATAGAAGTCGCATTATGAGTATGGATGGTCTCCACAAAAAATACAAGCAATAGAGAGGCTATGAAAACAAAAATAAAGTTCTACACATTAAGACCAAAATTATAATTAACTTTATGAACAGATATGTTGTTTCATTGTAAACATTCACTCTTATCCTTACATTCGATAGATTTTGCTTGGAACCCAGTCTCCTAACTATTCCCAGTATGACACAGGACAGAAATTTTAAAAAGATTAAAAGGAAAATATTAATTCTAAAAGGCACCCTAAATTCAACTTACCAGATCTCGAAAGTGGAGATGAATGTTCTAAAGGGGAGGTCCTCACAGTTTTGATGTCAGCATAGACTATATCTCCAGCCATTTCACGGATGAAAAAAGAGAAAGAAGCCCCAAAATGATCTTCTGCTTAAGGGAGAATCATGTTTCCGCAAACTTCTGTAAATTAAGAGAAGGCAGAGAGAAGGCAGATTTCCTTTTGTGCCCCACGTAGGCAGTGGACTTCCTTTACAAATAAATAACAAAGCAACGTGTTCAGTCTTTTCAACCAAGGTAACATATTTTCAAATACTTGCATGATATGGAAGAAAACTATTCATAGAGTAAATTCTTATTCTTCAGTTAGTTTTCCAACTAAATTTGGAAAAAATTTAACTTTTATTAATAGCATAGAAGATATTTCACAACTTTCTTTTATAAACCACTTCCTCTTTTTAGTTCAAGCATATATTTTCTGGCAGATTCTCTGAGACTACACAGCATATTCTCCAAAGTGGAATAATTTGGGAAGGGGGACAAGGAAAAAGAGGGATTTTATCATGAAAGTGATAGAAAGGGGTACTCTTTCTTTTATCCTCATCTCAAAATGCATTGTATTTGTCTAAATAATACTTTAAAAATTACCTTAAAGTTACTTATTCTCTTAAAGCATTTAAGAGACGCAGTAAACTGAAGTGAAGCATGGGTTATGCAGAGGAATTCCAAACTAAAAAACATATGTTTAACTGGATAGCCACCTGTAGAAGGCTGAAGCAGGACCCACACCTTTCACCTCTCACAAAAATCAACTCACACTGGATAACAGATTTAAACCTAAGGTACGAAACTATTAGAATTCTAGAGGAAAATGTTGGAAACACTCTCCTACACATTGGCCTAGGCAAAGAGTTTATGAAGAAGTCCCCAAAGGCAATCACAGCAGCAACAAAAATAAATAAATGGGACATGATCAAACTAAAAAACTTCTGCACAGCCAAAGAAACAGTCATGAAAGTAAACAGACAACCTACAGAATGGGAGAAAATTTTTGCATCCTACGCATCTGATAAGGGGCTGATAACTAGAATCTACTTAGAACTCATGAAAATCAGCAAGAAAAAAATCAAATAATCCTATTAAAAAGTGGGCAAAGGACTTGAACAGAAACTTTTCGAAAAACAACAAATGTTGGTGTGGATGCCAAAGAGATAGGACAATCATACACTGCTGGTGGGATCGCAACTAGTACAACTTCTATGGAAAATAATATGGAGATACCTTGAGGAACTAAAAGTAGAACTGCCATTTGATTCAGCAATCCTACTACTGGATATCTACACAAAAGAAAAAAGTCATTCTATAATAAAGACATCTGCACTCAAAGTTATGGTAGCACAGTTCACAATTGCAAAGATGTGGAAACAACCCAAGTTCCCATCAATACATGAGTGGATTAATAAATGTGTGTATATATATATAATACATATATATATACACACACACCATGGAGTATTACTTGGCCAAAAAAATGATGAACTATACTTCTTGATGGTGCTGGAGCCCATCCTCCTAAGTGACATATCACAAGAATGGAAAAACAAGCACCATATGTACTCACCAACAAATTGGTACTAATTGATCAACACTTATGTGCT